ACTTTATCTAGTGTGTTTTAAGTTGAAAATTTCCAACTTTTGTCGACTAACTTAGGAAATAAATATGAGTTTAAATGCTATATGACTCTATTTGTGTCCTGAATGTTGATGTGAACTCATATGGTACTGCAGAGACATGTAATGCATCTCGGTTAAAGGGAAGAGGGATTAATTAGCACTAGAATTCTTGTCTATAATTTATAAGAATCATTATAGTTTTGGCAGCAGAAGATGGTTTTCTTCTCTGTTCCTTTCCTTTCATGTTTGGATCAAACCCAGTGCCTCAAGCATGCTGATTAGGTGCTGTTCCACTGAGCTGTATCCAGCAGAGGATGGCCCCTGCAGAGAAAAGAGAGCGATCACCGAATCGTCTTAGCCCATACTTTTCCTTGTTTTTGGTCAGTGTTCATATGTGACGATAGATAATTTAGACTTTGTTCACAGGACTCTACTCCACAGGGGCCACAGGTAGAGGCTAGTTCGTCAGGGGCAAACACTGAATGAGGACTGGATCTCCTGTGGCCAGAGCAATCTTTCCCTTCTTTCCCAGATACTCAAAGATGGTAAAGCTAATGGCTAGGATGACAGGCAGTTAAGGGCGTTTGTTGCTCTTTCAGAGGACCCAGGTTTGGTTCCCAGTACTCTCAGCTCATACCCATCTGTAACTCCAGTTCCAAGGGATCCAGTGCCTTCTGACCTCTGTGGGAACCAGCACACATGTGACACATGCATTTATGTAGGAAAAATCTCGTACACATAATTAAATCTAATAAAATAAAAATGCTTATGGTGGTGGCATTGATGTATTGTTTTGTAGGGTCAAAGACTTTTCTTTCCACAGGGGGAAGCTTTTACTAGCTTTGTTACTGCTCTTAGATCTAATAATTATCATTGGGAGGGTTTAATATATTTTAACTGTTGCCTTGGTCGACCGTCGCCTTCATCTTTACTATTAGGCTAATCCATGGCATACCAACTTCCAGATACATGCACATACATAAGACTTATTTTTGTATTTAGCTGGTTGATAGTTAAGGTTTTTTCAAATATAAGACAGTATTCATGCTAATGAGACAAGTGATTGATAGCTGGTGACTTAAAGTGTTTCAGAACTAGAGAACCAGACTAGAGGTGTAATTTCTGGTGAGAATCACCAGCCCCCCACCCAGAGATTTATTACCTCTAAAGTACTTTACACGTGTTACTTCCATGACTTTTTGTGATAATTATGTAAAACCTGTCTCTATCTTGGATCAGGGAAAACTGAAATTACTGTTAGAAAGTTGATTTTAGTCTTTTCCATGGTACTGGTATGTTTTCTGCCAAATTCACATACGTGTCTTTATTCTGGAAAAAAAGAACCCCCTAGTTTATACACTTGTTTTCTTGTCACATTTTATCAGAAAAAGTAATATGAATGGCCTGCTTTAGTCAGGGACAATAAGTGCATGTGTATCTGTGTGGCACATGGATTTTTAAGTATTTATGGGGTGTAAGACTGTAATGGTAGTTCTGAATAGTAACAGTTATTGTGTGTTTCAACCCAAGATTTCATTCCCATATAAATGAGCTCTGTGAGATTATTATGCCAAAAATACCAATATTTGTCTTTCACTCAATTTATCTACACTTCATAAAAATCTTTAAATATTACTTCATTATCTTAAAATTTGCTTTGCAGTATATGAAGTCTGTGGAATGCCTCTTAGATATTTATGAAGTAGCTCAGATTTTTGCAGGTGTTGTAGACTCTTAGGGATATAGAGCTTAATTTAGAACAGACTCCTCTTTTCTGCATTTTTCATTTTAAAAATCAGATTACAGCAAATCCATCTGTGTGATCCAGCTACACTGACATTGGTTTTTAGATATCTCTGTGGTGTTTTGGTTAGGCAGAGAAGTTCTCTTAGTTTATAGTATCCTAATAGTCATGCAAGGACGGCTCCTGCAGATAATACTCTGGTTCTTGTATTCATGCCATGCTTCCCTGTAAAGTTATTTTCCTGAAAGATACTTAAGCAAGGTCAGTACGGTAGTTTATTCAAAACAAACAAATACAACAAAAATGCAAACAACTAATAAAATACCCTTATAAAATACATTTTAAGACTTGGGGGTTTAGCTATGTAGTAGAATATTGCCTTATGATAAGAAAATAAGCAATCTTCTGTCCTAGGAATGATGGGGGTTAAGAAAAATTTTAAGAACTCTTACCAGTCTGCACGTATATGTGCACATTCCAGAATGCATGATCATGAATGCGTATGTGCACACATACAGACACACAGGCTAAGTGTGGGTATAATGCATATGTTAACTATCTAGATTCTACCATACATGGTACAACATATATTTGTGTTCAAACATCATGCTGAATACTGTAAATATGTTTTTGTCACCTTTAAAAAGATGAAGACTGTCCTCAGATGTTTGAGAGTGCAATAGGAAAACTGTATTTGTCAGAAATTGTCTTTAGCAAGCCTACAAAGCCTTACCTTAGGCTGTATCTGGTCGAGAACCAAGAAAGTATGCATAGATTTCCAAATGACACAAAGTCCCGCTATATATCTCTCAAAAAATAGCTTTGCTGCCAGGCGGTGGTGGCACATGCTTCTAACCCAGCACTCAGCATTCAGAGATGGCAAATCTCTGAATTCGAGGCCAGCCTGTTCTACAAGACCTAGTTCTAGGACAGGCTCCAAAGCTACAGAGAAACCCTGTCTCAAAAAAAACCAAACCAAAGCAAACAAACAAAGTAAATATTATTGCCAAGGTAATCTCAAAATAAAAGGAGGATTCTTTCTTGATTTTATGTCAACTTAACTGTTAAAGAAAATTAAGTCTATTCATTTGTGTAAGAGTTATTTATCTTAAAAAATAACTAAAAGCACTTATGTCAGATTAGCTCTTGGGTACACTTGGTAGTATGCCTGTGGTAGCATGCAAGTGGTGATATGCTGACAGCTGGGTAGTAAGGGCAGAATCACATTGTATTGTAGTAGCATCTTAGTCTCAGCTGCTTCAGGTTTCTCCTTCACCATTCTTGTGCCTGTATATTTTAGTTCAGCTGTTGAGAGCCTTATGGAATGCTATCAGACCTTGCTTTTCAAAGGGGCTGTGGACCAGCATCAGTGTTACCTATAAGATTGTCAGACTTGGTCTTGGCTAGTTCCTGGGTTACTTGATAGGAATCTTCACTTAAACAGATTCTCTTTGTGATTTCTATGAGCATTAAAGCTGAAGAAGCCCTGGTATAGAACACAAAAGGCTTGTAATTTAAATACTTTTGTTACAAAGTTAAATAATTTAGAAATGATTAGTAAGAACATTAAACACTTTCACCTTAAAAGCTCCCTTTTTGATTTGGCTGATGATAGCCCCCATGGAATGCTACCAGGCCTTGTTTTTCAAGTGCATTTTGCTGTATTTCTGTACTTTGATTCTTAATCTTACTCAGCAAAGAAGATAAATGATGTGAAGGAGCAAAACCATTGCTGTTAAATCTACTTACTGCAGCCTCTGGCATCACATAAAATCAGCTCCTCAGAAAAGGAGAAAGACTTGCTCAGACACTGGCATGCACAGACTGTATAATCAGCCCTGGGCTTTTATGCACACAGGGAATCCAGATAGACTTAAAACATAATAGGTGCCGAGTGAACTAGATGCCCTACTCAGGGAGTTGTTGACCCTGAAATTGTCCTTGAAGATCATGATCCTTCTCGTGAGTAGAACTATAGTATTATGGGATGTGCCCACGTAGTTCCACTTGCTACCCTTCCTTCAAGCTACGTGTATGATTAAAAACGTTAAACTTACTTCATCCCCATGAACCTTTTCTTCCAATGGCAGAACTCTTGGTCATTGTTTCGTTACACTTTAGGGTGTTAGGACTCTGAGTAAGAAGTAGAGACATGTAACTGCTTCATGTTACCACATTCAAAGAAAAATTGTGTGACACGCTCTACCTCTACGCTTCCAATTTAGTTTAGGGAAGAAAGCTTTTGTTTGAGTTCTGCTTCTGATATTTGAAAGCTCCCTTCAACTCCCTAGCTGAGATGGCCGCAGGTGCTCACAGACCTTTTCTGATGCCTTTGTGTCTCTTCACCTCTTAGTGCACTGCGGGAACAAATGAAGCTTTGCCAATAGTCTGAGTATCAAGTCTGGGTAGCTCGCTACTCTTGTGAACCTGGGTTGTTCATGGTTCTTCCATTCATGTTGGAGCTTTGGCATACAGTTTGACAACCTTGCCCAAGGCTAAGAATACTTACTATGACTGTTCTTGGCCTAACAGTGTACAATACCCCCCCCCCTTTTTAATATATAGTAAGGAAATTTTCTCCATGCCTCCTTTAATTCTGTTCTTATCTAGTAGTTTGTCCTTTGTCATGGATGACCAGGAAACCTTGGTGATAGGAGACAGCTGCTGTTAATACATTTTAGATGTCTTAAACGTGGGACTAGTGAGAAGGCTCAGGACACAAAGATGCCTTCCAATAACACACAGTTTTCTGTCACCAGTTGCCAAGCTTATTAATAATAGCAGAAAAGGGACTATGTTGTAAGATTTCTCTTAAGCAAGGGATCGATGGGAAAATGATCTTGTCTTGAACTCCAAGATGGCGAATGCAATTTTCTTCCTTTTCTGAATGCATTATCCGCTCCTCGAAGTCTGTGCATAATATACTTTAAAACATGAGTGGTAGCATTTATTGTTCCTTTAGATCGTAGGTCTTTTCACCCACATTCTCAGTTACTTATTTAATTTCTGAGATTAAGGGAAAAGCAATAAAATAATAAAGAAATGGATTATAACTGTTGCACTTAAGGAATAATTCAGATTTTTTTTTCATGTTATGATTTCACCAGGCCTGTTAAACACTGTGCTCCCTGTGTAGTTCTTGATCCCTCACACCAGGCCTGCTGTGCACTGTGCCTGATGTGCAGTCATGTCTAGGTGTTTTGTGCCAGTGGACACTCATGTCTCTATTGTTCCACAGGAAAATGACTCAGGCACCTTGGACACAGTGGGTGCTGTGGTGGTCGATCATGAAGGGAATGTTGCTGCTGCTGTCTCCAGTGGAGGCTTGGCCTTGAAACATCCAGGGAGAGTTGGGCAGGTAAGGATCTGTGGGTTAATAATTCTGCTTTTCAAAATGAAATCTGTCTAAGTGCAACCATTCAAGTACTAGGGATGTTTTTTCCTTAGGAAAAATAAAAATTCTTGTTCTTGAACATTTAATTTTTATAGATCAAAACCAAAAATTCTTTAAGTCTTATTTTTTTAAAGAGCCATCTCATGGTGACGGGGCTCTTGTTGACCTTTATTTATGACCAGTGACCCTGACCTCACTGCTCTCAGCACCCTGGGTGGCACTGGCTTTTGTTTGTAGTAGACATTTAATAATCATGTATTGATTTACATCTTCCTTAGTGAATATGACTGTAGGAGCAAACACTCCCTGACTGTATTGCCCGTTGCTTTTTGAAGTGAGAACATGGTTTTAGAGTAACGCGTTTTACTCCATTCAAGTCACAGTGACTTTTTGGCATTCTCTGTGTCTCCTCTGACTTTAGACATTTTACAGGGTAGCTAGGATTTTTGGTCCCCCTGTATCACAGACAAATATTTAGCAGATGAAGAAATTCTAATTCATGTGAAACTTTCTTAGCCTGAGTTCTCTTGCAGAGCTTTTATCCAGCCTTCCTTCTCCACCTCCAGTCTTTAATTCTGTATTGAAAATGAAATCTAAGAGTAAATTTGATATACCACGGGTGGTGGGCATTATGACCTGACTTTGCACATTTCTTATGATCTTAGTAAATATTTATGAATCAAGACACTCTCCTGTAACTTTTTAAAGAGGTTATTTAAAACTCAGTATTTGGATCTTGTCTCATATGTGAAATGAAGGTCATGGTGTTGTGTGTGCCAAATTCCTTTCCTCCAAATGCTATCAGATGCCTTCCTGAAGTAATGGAAAACGATGAGGTTCTACAGGTACCCAGAGAAAACTACAATACTAGAAAATGCCTAAAAATACACCTTTGCATCAGTCAAAGTCTGTGGAGAGCTAAGTGATGAGTTTAAGACAATCATAGGGGTGTTGCAGGGATGCATCCTCTCACCACTGCTCTTTAATATGTTCCTGGAATTAATAATAGCAACAGCCCTGGTGGATGAGGAGACAGGTGTGCAGATAGGTGGCGTGTGAATCAGTAATTTGCATTTTGGCAATGATACAGCACTACTTGCTGAAAGTCCAAGTGATCCGCAGGCCATGGTAAGTAGAGTGGTGAAAGTCAGTGAAATCCTTGGTATGAAAGTAAACATCGAGAGACTGAGATGCAACACATAGGAAGGGTGCACAGGATTTTAACATTGTAATAAAGAATCATAACCTCTGTTGTAATAGGGCTGCTTGTTCCTTTCCTCAGAAACTGTAATTAGATTACTGCTTGGCCCATTAGCTCTAGCTTCTTATTGGCTAACTCTTACATATTAATTTAACCCATTTCTATTGATCTGTGTATTGCCATGAGGATGTGACTTACTGGGTAAAGTTCTGGCATCTGTCTCTGGTGGGGCTACATGGCTTCTCTGACTCCGTCTTCTTTCCCCAGCATTAAGTTTAGTTTTCCCTGCCTAGCTAAATTCTGCCTTGCTATAGGTCCAAAGCTGTTTCTTTATTCATTAACCAGTGGTATTTGCAGTATACAGAGAGGACTCCCACATCAAACCTCAAGCAAGCAGACAACTTTGTTTATCTGGGAAGAAACCTCAGTTCAAAGGAGGGAACTATTTCAGATATCAAGAGGCAGATAGGGTTAATGAGGGTTGCATTCCAGGTACTAGGGAAGGTTTGATCAGCAAGAGACATAAGGACAACAACAAAATTACATGAGACACTTGTCTTGAGCTGCCTGCCTTCTTTACAATCCCGAAACCTGGACAATGAAACGCTCCTCAGAACAGCAGCTGAATGAGTCTGAGATGGCGTGTCTCAGGAGGCGTCTAGGCTTCACATGAAGAGACAGGCAGTGCTTAGAGGAAAACAGCATTGCTAACTTGTATGAAACTGCTGGGTCCAGGAGTCATCGTGAACCTGGAGATAGGAAGAATCAAATGAGAGGTAAAGAAAACTGTGAAGCACAAAAACGTGTCCTTTCAAAGGCTAGGTCAAACCTTACAGAAATGAGATGCATTTCAATGTATTGTAAATGCTCAAATGAATGACTTCTGAAAACTGGCATACCCGCTATAGCTATTTAATAGGAATGCAAATTGTAAAATTTAATTTGAACAAGAGTTTACTTCTTTTAGTGTGTAACCATTAAAGTTTATAGCGGGGATATGAGAAAGGAATTAATAAACTTTACTATAAAATAAATAGTTACCAAGGTCTGAAGATGAAATGCTATAGTGCTTACCAAGTTCTAGAAGATTGACACGACACATTTAAATTGCACTTCCTACGTCCTTGATCTATCACTGCCATTGGTTATACACTTGCAGTGTTCAACATACGCTTTCATTCACATGGTTCCTTGACAATAATAGAAGTGCTTTTATTATTCTTTGTTGTTTTGTGGTGAATTCAGGTCCTGTGCATGCAAGGCTGACTCAGCTGTACTCTTTGCGATCACTTTTTTCTTTTTTAGTTGTCTAGGCTGACCTTTAAACTTGCTCCGTGTCCCAGGCTAGCCTTACACTTGTGATCCTCATGCCTAAGATGCCAAGCTGCTGGGATTATAGGTCTTCTACAACAATCGCTTGCTACATTATTATGCTCATTTTATAGAAAACAATAGTCTTGAGACAGTTAAGTAATATGTTATTTATATAAGTTATTTTTTATTATGTATAACACCTTTAATATAATTTTACTTCCAACATAGGAAGCTTCTAAACACTTTTTACAGTTTTGCATTTTACTTACAGAGGTGAATAATAAAGGCCAAATTCTTTATTATTATTGTATTTTTGTTACTATTTCATTCTGTTTTCAGAAGGTTAAGGAAAGTAAGTCAGCTTGAGGCCATGCAATTAAGAGGAGATATTATACAAGAAATTTTCTTAAAGAGAAGAAAAAAAGGGGCGAGCAATACTGTGTATCCTTTTTTTGGAAGGCGCCTTCCCCTGGCTCTCTGAGAGGTGCCCATTCCCCCCACCCCAGGGTTTTGTATAAAGGAACTAGGTTGCTTCCAGAGCACTGTAGGTGGAAGTTCTAATAAGCAAACTTGACCACACAATGAGGGACTTTGTAGCAGTTAGAAGGGCTTACTAGGATAACATGTTCCCATAAGGCAGTAAGCTCTCATAACAGAAGCAGATGGTTGCTTCGTGGAGATTCCTGCTGGGTAGAATATTGGAGCAATTGAGTTCTAAGGATATTTAAAAAACTGGAGTGTCGCAAAAAGCTGAAATTTTATCTGTGTACTCTTCTCTGCCTTAGCCTGTCAGCTGAGTGAGCTCCAGAAGTCGCAGTCCAGTGTTGGGGGAGGGAATCTGTATTTATAGTGGTGAGTGCTGCATGTGTTGTAGATTCTAGAAATCCACAAGATAGTAAATCTTTTTGTATTGTTTTCACTTGTTTGTTTGAGACAGGGCTATGTATCCCTTGCTGGAACTTACTGTGTGGGACTGGGTTGGAACTGAGTCCTTCCTGCCTCTGCCTTTTGAGTTCTGGGCTTAAAGGCATTAGCTTCCACACCTATTTGTATTAAGTTTTTCAGAAACTTAATCCTTTCATTGTTAGCCTTTGTTAGGATTTCTGTGTATTGCTCCACCAAAGCTTATTTCGGTTACTGTCAGTCACCTATACCAGTTTTTCATTACTAATAGTGATGTAAAACATTTACCTTATTTGTCCTAATATTAATAAACACCCAGGAGTCAGAAATTGTGGTGAACACTTGATAAATTCAAAGAATAGTGGAGGAAAGAGCGACTGACCCGAGTCTCAACGTTTCCCAGATCCAAAAGCCCAAGAATCTCTTCCAAGTCCCTTTTTCTCTTCTCCGTGTCTCTCTGTCTTCCTATGGTCCATTCCAGCCCACTGAACTCTGCCCTCTGAACCAAGGTCCACCTCCACTGGTGGAGAGCACCAAGTCCCCCATAACGGTGCTGTGATAATGAACTTGCTCAGTAGCATGCCTCGTACTTCACCAGATACTGTGTCAGGTGCTCCAGAAACCAGAGTTCTTGCCCGTAAATTCCTCAGAAATTCAGCATTTCTCTAGTTTAAGAACACTTATTTTTAAAACTTTTTTCTTTTTTATTGAAAATAGGTTTTTTCCTCACATAATATATGCTGATTGTGGTTTTTCCCCCACTCCTCCCAGTGTCTTCTCACCTTTCTTCCCCTCAGGATCTACTCCCTTTCTGTCTCTCATTAGAGAACAAATAGGCTTCTAAGAGATAATAATAAAACAAAACAAAACAAAAACTTATTCACTGAAATTGAACAAAAGAGAAGCAAGAGAGCCCAAGAGAAGGCAAAAGAAACACGTGTTCACACATCTAGGACTCATATAAAACACTAAACCGGAAGCTATTTTATAAATGCAGGGGTGCAGGCCCTGTGCAGGTTCTGTGCAGGCTGTTTTAGTCTCTGCGAGTTATGTGAGCTTCGGTCATGCTGTTTTAGAGGGCCTTGTTCTCCTGGTGTCCTCTGTCCCCTCTGGCTCCTACACTGTTTTTTGCCTCCTCTTCTGCAGGGTTCCCTGAGCTTTTAGGGGAGGGATGAGGTGGAGCTATCCGATTTAGGACTGAGTCGACAATCCTTATTTTAAGGCACCATATTGGTTACAGGAGCCAACAGAGCAACTGGCCAGCAAACTGTGAAAGGAAAGGGTTTTAGGACTAGGAAGCATTACTGATGGCACTAAGACAACTTTCTCTTGCTGTTCTCTAAGAACTTCTACATTGTTAGAGTAGTAGAGCACATTTGCTAGTACTCTGCATTTGTATGTGTGTTACGTGTGTATATGCAAGTCTACGTGTGTGAGTATATGTGTAAGCATGCACGGGTGTGTCTAGACTGAAATTGATGTTGAATGTTTTCTTTGATTGTTCTCCACTTTATTTACTGAGGCATGGTCTCTCCCTGAACTTGGAGCTTCCTTATTCTGACTGGTCCAGCTTGCCCCAGGGATCCTATTTTTCTGCCTTTAATTCTGGTATTACAGGTGACTGCCATGCCTGCCTGACTTTCTGTGTAGGTTTGGGGAGCCATATTCTGGTCCTTCTGGTTATGTGGCAACTGCTTTACGCATTGAACCACGTCTCAGGCCCTACTGATCTTTTTGAATGACATATAATATCTACACATTTTTTAGACAAAATATTGATTTATGTATATGCTGATTTATTAATGTTACTAGCTACTGGGGAAAGCATAAGGAAGGGCACAGGGAAAAGCTAGTCAAAGATATAGTTAGGTAGGAAGAGTAAGTTCCGGTGTCCTTGTCATAGCAGAGTGAGAGTATGGGGAACAGTAATGCATTGCATATCTAGAAATAGATACAGCCTTGAGAGTTTGAAAACCATTGTTTGCATAGTTCTTATGCAAACTCTTATAAATATATGCTGTTATGAACTATTTTTTAGTGTTTTATCTGTGTGTGCATTTGTGTGCACAAGAAAACAACTCCTAGTGTGGTTCTTCAGTCATCCCTTGTTTTTCAGTCTACCCTGTTTTGTTGAGGTGGGGATTCTCTTATTTTCATTTTTAATTAGCATACAGGTAATAGATTTCATTATGACACTTCATACTTAATTTGCTTTGTTGTCTATTTTGTTTATTTTTAATAAACTGAGTTTTATTTGATGGATATTACTTTCATATTGAAAACTGAAAATTATGTATAATATTCAGTAAGTATTGTATGAGTCTATTCTCTGTCTTTCTAGGCTGCTCTTTATGGATGTGGCTGCTGGGCTGAGAATACTGGAGCTCATAACCCCTACTCCACAGCTGTGAGTACCTCAGGTATTTGCTGCTTTCATGGCCATTTTTCATAGCTACAATCCTGTCAGTCATTTAATACTTAAAATCAGTATTTGGGGGAAACATTTATTAGAGTGTTGATGCATGAAAAACATCATTAATATTAAAGGTTTTAAAGATTATTTAGTTTTCTATTATAAATGCGTTGCAAATGTTAACTGTAAAACTCTGATATTGGCTATAATTCAATTCTATTTTATTATCTAGTGACCCATGATAGTTACAGTCACATCTCGAGTGATGTCAAAACAGTGAGGCATTTCAAAAATTATCATGTAGTCTCTTGAGTAAAATGTTGACGTGAAACTCACAGAATGTGCTTCAGAATGTATAGCCTACAACATTTTCTCAAACTATCCTTTTAATAAAATACAGAACCTTTTTTGTGTGTATAATAAGAAAGTGTATGATTTAGTAATGATTGAAATAGAGCGAGCATGTGCGATGTGGTTTGCGCTTGAGCATGCACATGTATGTGTGTCAGTGTGTCCCTGTGCTGTAGGGATGGGAAATAGGGGTGGGGGAAATTTAACGGGTGGAACAATAATCTGTTTCTAGAGTTTTATAATACTGATACCACATATACTTGAGGCCTGTTCTCTTTATGTGGTGATGCTACTGGTGGGCAAGGTCAATGCTGGTTCACCCCTTCCCACAAGCTACAGTTCTGTTCATTTCCAAACAGCCCCAGGATTTACACATCTGTGCAGCACAGATGTTTTTCTTTTCTTTCTTCACCTCTTCGGTTTCTGACCACATTGGTTTTTGTTGTCTAGTACAGTAGCTTTCCTGTGCTTCCTGCTTACTGATCCTGTATCCACTGTAGTGCACTAGTTAATTGTTACATGCTGTTTGAACTCACTGACACGCTGTTTCTGTCGGGTGGGCTGAGCTTTTCCCCACTTCAGATGCAAGTGTGTTTACCTTAGAGTGTCCTCCAAGATCCCTTGACCTGGAATGGGCTGGTCTCCTAGACCCGTGAGAATTGGAGTGGAGAATGGTAAACAGCCCAAAAGTAAGATACTGAGAAGACAAACAGTAAATTGTTAGAGTAAAAATAAAAGCCCGTGTCCTTGAACAAGTACTTTCTCAAAATAAAAGATCGACTACAGCTTAGCCTGTGTTGTTGAAGATGCAGGAGGTGCTCTGCCTGAGATCTCCACCCACACATGCTCCAGCTGATACCTGTCATGTAGACCGATTTGTCTTTAAGTCTCCAGCTCACAAAAAAACAAACGACATGGAGACTTATTATTAATTGTGAAAACTCGGCCTTAGCTTAGGCTTGTTCCTAAATAGTTCTTATAACTTAAATTAACCTATATCTTTTAACCAATTTTTTTTTTAATGTGGGTTGGTTGCCTTGGCTCTGAACTCCACAGAAGTCCCACCCGACCTCTTCCTGCCTAGCTATTGACCATTCATCTCATTATTAAACCAGTCACAGTGACAGACACATGTTCACACAGTGTAAAGGAAAATTCCACAGCCCTCCCCGCTGACTGTTGTGGTTTGCCTCACTTTCCCAATCTGTTTCTGCTGCATGCTCAGTTGCTTGGTCAGGTGCTCCACCGTCTTTCTGCTCCTTGTCATCATCTTCTGGTTTGTTTGTTTGTTTTTGTTGTTGTGTTTTGTTTTTGTCTTTCATGGTTACAGCACAGTTAACAATCTCAGTTCTTCAAAACAGAAAACATGACCATTTTTTGTGCAAAGCTTCTATAATACAGATATTGCCCATTATAGCATGGGACCTGGTGCTCCATCTCAGTTACCTTCATAGGATTTTCTTCCTTTTGAAAATAGTTATGGGGTTGGGTTCTCATCATTTCTCTGTATGCTTTCTCTTGCTGATTTCCTGTTTTTGCTATCTTCCTGATTTCAGCTGTTTTCTCTTTGCCAATTAACTTCTACACCTGTGTCAGCTCTGGGCTTTCTCTGAAAGTCGACATACATTCTTTCTATTTTCTGTTTAGTAGTCCTCTGTGAGTTTTATGTGTGTAATTTTTCCCATGACTACCTTTCTCCAATGGTTTTCTTCTTTAAAATGTTTCAGAATTACATTAATATTATTGTGTGGATGGGGACTATATCTATGTGCCACAGTACATGCGTGGAGATCACAGGGCAACCTATAGAAGTCAGTTTTCTTATGCCAATATAGGGTCCCAGGGATCACACTCAGTTTTACAGGCTTAGCCACAGTATCTTTGCCTGCTGAGTCATCTCACTGACCCTCTTAGCTGTTTTCTTGCCTTCACTACCCTCTTCTTTTAGATAATAAATATTGGCACTATTCTAATATTTGTGGCTTCTTATCATTTTTACTGATCTGTCTAGTTTTTTCAGACTTTTGTGTTCTCACCTGCCATGTGTGGCCTCCATCTGTCCTATCTCCTTTCTTTGTATCCGAAAAAACATATGATTGTGAGTCATGAGACTAATTTGATATACAAATCAATAATGAATCAAAAGCATCCAATATAATTGTAAAAACTGTTTTTTGTATTTTATTTTGCATGGATGAACAAAAATAGTAATGCATTCATTTTTAGTTTAATTGTGATGACACATAAACATTTTGCCATACAGTGTCAAAAATAGCTAATGTGTGTAGTCCTGTGTCTTTAGCAAATTATGTGAGCAAATTGAAGTATGAAAAATTGCTTCATTTGTATTTTTCCACATAACTGTCAATATCATCTATTGTGTATGCTTTGGTTTTAGCAAATGTCTTCATTGAGTTAGTTAATTGTTTGGTGTTATCCCTTGAGAGTCTGCCTAACTGTGTCACTTTGTGAAAGAGATTCAGTCCCTTTGGGAGTGCCTATTCACCAACAAAACCAGTTTTTAGAAACTGGTGGTTTGGAAATTTGAATAAGAAAATACTTTATTAATTTGATCTTTTTAAGTAGAATGCAATGGCAAGTAAAGCTAGAATTGCACTGTTAAGGTCTTTACAAGCTCCCATTTCCTCTCCTGTACCAGTTCTTTCTTGTTCATGGTACCCAGAATTGCATTTGAAATGTGGATATGAGGCATGTCATGTTGCATAGTTAAAGGATCAAATGCCCGAGCTGGAGGATGACACAGTAGATTTCTGTAGGATTGGGTTTACTTCCTTCTTGTTTTTCGTGGGACTGTTGTTGTGAGGTTGGTGGTGGAAACACATGGTAGAGTTGGGGTGTCCAAGTCATAGGAAAGGTGGAACACGGAATTTTGCAATTGTTTGTTCAGAATAAAAAGGACTTGTGCTTTGGGCTGTTGTAGAAAATTCAGAGACCTGGCCATGTTTTGGTGTATGTAACGTGGAAGGTGATACTTGAAAAGACAGTTATGGTCAGGATATGGCTCTCCCAAGGCCAGGTAGGCAGTTTGGACATTCGCCTGAGGAATAAAATTCAGCTTCTTGTTCTTATCATTGGGTGGGGTGGAATGAGTAGGGGTGTGTGTGTGAGAGGAACTGCTCTTGCAAACTCTGACACATGTTCTGGAACCATGGACCTTGCAGCACTAGGGAAGGAGCAGAACAGTCACCTTGCTTATCTCCAAACTTGGTACTTGTAGATAACCCAGCAGGAACAACTGCCATTGCTGTAAGTGTGGAGTCAGTTGACATAGGGAGGTCTCATCTTTCACTATTATGTTCCAACGACTATCTGTCACATCTTTTATAAAATACACAATATTTGATACTATTAATGGAAACAAAAATATTGCCAATAGAAGAATGACAAAGCATTTTCACTTAATTTAACACGTGACTGTTACTTTATGAGAAAGTAAGGAACTGGGGATGTTACTTCAGTCATACGTGTTTGCTTCATTGGTAATAACCCCACTTGCCATGCTGTGCCTAACATTTACAATCATTTTAAATTTCATTCCTATATCTTAATCCTTTGAACACAATGTAAACAGCAAGCAAAATGAACACACCTAGTTTTCATGTGGTGCATAACACACAGACATCAAATGAGAACAGCTTGCATTGAGAACCAGTGACAGCTCTCTCACTACTAAAGGTTATAGGACAGTGTGAGAGGGTAGCTACTGTCTGATTCTCAAACATTCCTCACATTTCTCCTGCTCCCCTTCTTTTGAGACCAAGTATTGGGTGGCCAAAGCTGGTTTTAAAATTTGATCTGCTGCCTCTACTCTTGAGTGCTAAAGATCACAGATGTGAGCTCTTGTGTCTAATCAGAATTTTTTAAATATGTAAAAGGCATATTTTAGAATTGAATTGTTAAAAGTTTTTATTATTGTTATTTTTAAAATGAAAATAAGCAACTTGTAACTTTGAAGTAGCAGGGCAGGCTTATGAGGAAAGGAGGGCTGAGGGTATATTGGCACCTCTTGAGTGCCTGCCTGGAGCTGTATACATGGTGAGAAACTAACATAAAGAAAGAAATGAGCACATGGCTCCAACCTCTTTTAGAAGGATGCTTACTTTTTATAAAGGTTGTTCATCATGGAATTTTCATGAATAGCATTTTAAAATATGGTTTAATTATTTCCCAAATATGGCTTTGCATATGATTTTTTTTAGTAGCAGGTGAGATATATCCTATAGGATACTTCTTTGCTGGTCTGTGGCCATAGAAAGGAAGAACACGTGAAGGATTAGAAGATCAGAGGAAGCAAAAGCTGGAGATCAAGGTTGTGCTCTGGTTGACTTTGTGGGTTGTCTTCTGTTATTTGTCAGTTCTCCTGCCTTTTCTCCTCCTCTTTCTCTTCTTCCTTACTTCATTATTCCTCTTTTTTATTTCCCTTTTATTGAAAATGGATTTTTTTCTCATATGATATATTCTGATTATGGTCTCCCTTTCCCCTACTCCCAATTCCTCCCCACCTCCCCTTCTATGCAGATCCACCCCCTTCCTATTTCTTATCTAATTATAACATAAACAGGCTTCTAAGGGATAATATCTGTTTGTCCATTCATTTATCTACCTACCTATCTATTAAGACT